ACACATAGATACTAACAATCAATACACAATATGGTTTTACAAGAAATATATAACTCAAGATTACACTGCACCTATCACACAATTTATACAACAAAAATGTACAATCCAAGCTCCAATAGTATATGAATAATGCAAAGAAGTTTAATATCAAAGGAGACACCAATAGTAAATCCCAAAAGAAATTAGAAAGAAAAACCTAAAAATAGGGCTCAACCAAATCACACGGTGTTAAGTCTAATTCTTGATTATCTCTTTGACTTGACAAATATCTTCTTCCAAAAATGATTTTTTACAAGAAGCCTAACCTACACTTTGCTTTGACTCCATGAACATATCTCTAGAGAAGAACTTTTTTAGAAAATTACAAAAAGGTTCAATGAAGATCTTGAGAACATGCGTTTGGTCAAGGTGGAAACAATGGTGATGAAGCTTTCTCGAACAACACTCTCACTCACATGAAGAAAATATCTCTCAATGGAAACCAAGATGAGCTTTGTTATTATTGGAGAATTTTTGTGTGTACAAGTCATAAAGAATTTGAATAATGGAGAGTAAAGGATAGCCTTTTTTCCTTTTACTTTTTTAATTGCAAAAGTCCAATTGACATGACAGTAGTGGGGTGAAAATTCTAATTCTTTCAATTTTGGTAAAATAGCTTTTTGATAAAACAAATTGTAAACATTAATCCTGCATGGAGTAAACTTTCGGTACAACTGTTGTACCTACTCTTTTATTAAATGAGAAATTTTTTTGAAACATAGAGGATAATATATAAAAAAACAAGGGATAAAATAATTTTTTTTACCCATTTTATTAGTAAATGGGTGTACCGAACTCGGTATATCCGTAGTATTAAAAAAAATTTCCCCTGGATATATCAACTTTAACAAAGTTAAAGGTACTTTTTCTTAGATGAGGGTAGATAGATATATTTAACTCAATTGGTTTTTATTTTTAAATCTAATTTTTATTTTAAATTTCAATTGTGCCCTTACTAGATATGGGAATTTACTAGTCTACTATAACTTTTCAAATTTATAAAAATGCTCTTAACTCATAATGAAAAAAATTATTTGTAATATAAAATGCATATATTGCAATGGAGCTTAGGGAGACATTTTCTGATATAAAAAGTGTGTTACAAAAATCCAATCGATATGATTTGCTTCATGTTTTGGTTTTTCATAGCTTCAATTTGAGATCTTTACTCTTGTATTTATCAACATCAAAATCCTTTAGCATATAGGAGGTCTTTCAAATATTATTTTATTATTCAAAATCGTTAAAATAATAATAATTTATTTTATTTAAAATGAATAATCTGATATAAGCCAGCATGTAGGCTTATAGTTCTGACATGTAAAAAAAAGTCTATGACTTACTTTTTAATAGATTTTTTTGAGGTCTAAAACTATTCTATTTGACTATATGTAGTAGGCCGAGTTTGTCTTGATATATGCCGAGCCGTAGGCTCCTATTAGACCGCTGCCCCACTTACATCCTTAATCATGGGTATCTGAGAATGGGGAGAAGATTGTGGGTGTAGACCCACGACTCGAGTTTACGGACTTAAGCCCATGCTAGAAAAGTTTATCGTGAGTGCAAGTCCACGATCCGGGTTCATGGACTGAAGCCCTAATCAGAGAGGGCTTCCCTAGGTGGGAAGCCTGTCTTGGGTCTTAGCCCAGTAAAGGGATCCAGGATCATATCTGGAACAATTATTATTGTTTTAAAAGTTAACATTAAATTCACTTAATTGAAAAATGTTGAATATAAAAGCTGTTACAATATTTTATTTTTTATTTTTTTTGTAAATAAAGAGGGGCTAAGCCCCAAAAACAGAAAGAAAATACAAATCAGAAACTAACAAGCTAGACATATTTCTAGCATCAGCAACTATAAGTTCCATCAACTGAGGAGGAGGATCTTTAAAAATCTTGAAATGGAGATTATTAGTCTGCCCAGCTTTAGCTAACCAATGAGCACATTTGTTGTTTTCTCTCTTGGTATGAACAAGATGAATATTCCAATCTGCTTTTAACCATAATCTCAATCTGCTAGTGACTTGAGAGTCCCTAGGATCTTCATACTGCTCCTTTAACATCTGGATGGCTTGGCTAGAATCACATTCTAGCTCTATTCTTTTTAATCCTGTTCCCAAAAGCAGTTCCAAACCTTTCAGTAATCCCCATAATTCTGCATCAAGAGGATTGCAGGAACCTAAATTACAATAGAAGCTTCTCAAAAAGGATCCATTGTGATCTCTTAATATACCACCACAACTAGCTTTTACAATATTTGAATTACTGTTGTATAAGATAGAATCTTTTTGATTTGATTTGATTTGAGTTAGTAGAGAGCTGTTGTAAATATTATTAACAGTTCCATAGTTTTAGGATGCTGTATAAATGTATCTCCAAAACTGGAGAAGAAATTGAATGAAAGTGAACAAATATTTCAGTACCTCTGTTATGCCTATTTGAGTATGTTAGTGTTGGAGTTTTTACATGGTATCAGCATTGTTCTGATCCTGGGGCGAATTTTTACACCTATTTATTTTTTACACCACTCATATCACACCCGTACCTGGTCCCTGTCATTTTTTACCTCCTTTATCTTTGCCCAAAACCGAACCCGAACCCGTTCTTTTTTTTTTCTTCTCCTTTTCGTTTCTGTCACTCATACCTGTACCCATACCCGTCTTCTTTTCCCCAATTCGCTCATCTCTTCCCAAATGGAGAACCCTAACAACGACGTCAACATTGAGAACAACACCGACCAGCAACCGAACCACAATCAGCCTTCTACCCCTGCCAACATTGTCATCCACCAAGACAATACCTCCTTTCCTATCACGGTGGTCCTCGATGACACTAACTATCCCCTATGGTCGCAGTTAATGGAGATGCGCATAGCCGCTCGCAACAAATCCGGTTTCTTGACCGGTGACACACCTAAACCACCCATCGTAGATCCCTCCTATGGCACCTGGATCACTGAAAATCAGAGGGTGAAAAGCTGGCTAATCGAATCCATGTCTCCTTCGTTGATGCAACGATTTCTTCGTCTGGAGTTCGCTCATGAAATTTGGGACGCTGCCCTTCGAACCTTTTATGATGGTTCGGACGAAACATGCTTGTTTGATCTGAACCAGAGGTCCTTCAACACCAAGCAAAATGGTCGGACCTTATCCATCTACTACAATGAATTTCTTTTGATTTTTCAGGAGATCGACCATCGCATGACTGCTCAGGAAGGCTCTGTCGAAGGTGTTCTCCATCTGCATTCGTCCATGGCACGACTTCGAGTTCACATCTTCCTCAGCGGCTAAAGCCGAGTTCAGAGGTATGGCCTATGGTACATGTGAACTATTATGGATCAAAACTATGCTAAGTGAGTTAGGATTCAAAATTAACCGACCCATGAGCTTGTACTGTGACAACAAAGCTGCCATAGAAATTGCACACAATCCTGTACAACATGACAAAACAAAGCATGTAGAGGTAGATAGGCATTTCATCAAGGAAAAATTGGATCAACAAATAATCTGCACTCTGTATATCAGATCCGAAAATCAGATAACAAACTTGTTGACCAAAGCTGTATCCGGAAAAAGTTTGAAGGAAGTAACTAACAAGTTGGGCATGATAGATATACATGCATCAACTTGAAGGGGAGTGTTGAATATAGAAGTTGTTACCATATTTGAATTACTGTTGTATAAGATAGAATCTTTTTGATTTGAGTTAGTAGAAAGCTCTTGAAAATATTGTTAGTAGTTCCATATTTTTAGGATGCTATAGCTGTATAAATGTATCTCCAAAACTGGAGAAGAAATTGAATGAAAGTGAACAAATATTTCAGTACCTCTGTTATGCCTATTTGAGTATGTTAGTGTTGGAGTTTTGACAAAAAAATAATTAATATCGCAAATATTTTTCAGTTGTAATTTTCATAATCTTGTATATTGCGCAAATTGTGTCTGCATTGCATCCCTAGTTAACACATGTCGCTTGAATACCTGACAAAATAAAAATTGTTTGCATCAACAGAAAAATTCTTCTAAACCAGTCAATCAAGCAATCCAACACTTCCTTTGGGCCCGATTTGTTTTAAAAAATAAATAAAAATTTGTTGCTGAAATCGCCTAAATTTTCTTAATTTTTTCTGAACGATATCTTATATATAACAATGTCAGGCTGAAAAGTGACCCATTTCTATACAACACACTGTTTTGTAGAAAAGCCCATACCAAATTCAACGGACCGAATAATTTAGCAAATTTTTACATATCTTCAATGGTTACATCCGATGCACTTCTTTGCAGTAAAAGCCCATTTGACAACAAAAAGGAGTATATATGCCTGACTTCCAAGTTCCAACACTGCATTGTCTCATAAAAAAAAATGGATAAGATTAATTTCTGACAAGGCATGATTTCTCATAAAATTATTAGAATTCGATTATATTAGAAGTATCTAATTTGAACATTATTTTGCAACTATTTCTCATATTTACAGAGAAGGAATGGTAGCTAAAAAAAAAAAAAAACCAAATATGTGAATTAACTGATAAGGGATTGTTCCAGATTAATAAAGTGATGTCGAATTTGAGTTCCTAAAACTACAGCCGTGCTAAAAATTTGGTGGGGAAATCTTTCCACCCGTGTGGTCTTACTCGATTTGAATTAGACTAATCAAGTAATCAATGAATCAATATATATATAAAAATAAAGAAATTGGAGGTGGCAAAAATTTCTGAATCATCGCGGATATGATTTTATATGCAACAAAAGCATTACACGTAAATTTGTTCAGCAGTTACAAGAAACAATCAATAAATCCATTAAAAAAAATAATAATCCAAAGAATCCAAACCTAAACTTTTACAAACTTTTTTTTGAGTCATTTCACAACACATTGGTATTATTAAACACAATAGCTATTATCAGTACCCTAGCTAGCTAGATGATACAAACAAAACAATTGACTAATCATATTTCAGTATTGTAAAGTGCTCACCACCTTCATTATCCGATCAACCAATGAAGTTTTACAAGACACAGTGCCATCATTCCCAGCCAATACCTTATACTTATCTTTCCTTGTAAAGTTGGTGCACTCAAACCCTAGCGTCGCAGCCAATAACCTCTGCACGTAGTTGGCCACATCGTGAGGGCTTTTCCCCGACGAGCACGTTGCTTCAACAGGCAACTGGTTCAAGAAAGTAACCTCATAAACCGGACTTGGGTTCATGAAGAAGAAAACCGGGTCCAAACCCTTCCAACCCCGAGCAGTTGTTGCATGGAAGAACCCTACCCTATAGTTCATTGCCACCGGTACTATCCGGTCAGTTAGTTCAGCGAAGAGTGCACTGAACCTTAGAAGGAAAGGTTCACGACAAGTTGTTCCTTCAGGGCACACTGCCAAATCGCCTCTTGATAATTCACTTTTGATTTTTTCTGCGTCCAAGTGTCGCATCCTTGTTAACCTCACTGTGGGGATCGGCGAGATGATCTCGGTTAACCGGGAAATGGAGTACGTGACTGCCGGAATTCGACGGTGAAGAACGGAGGAGAGAATGACGGGGTCCATGAGAGCACGGTGAGTGCACACGAATAGCACGCCGGAGTTCTCACCGGAGACAGGTGGTGGAGGTGATCTTCCCTTCACGATGATCTTAACACCGAATAGCTTTGACATGTAAGAGACGGCCCAAAATGGTAAAACACAACCCACTATGATGCGGATTATGGCAAGCAAAAGGCCTAATGGCATCCATAGGAGGATTAGCAGGGCGGTTGAAGGTGTTGGTCTCTTCACCAGGCGGCCGTCGTGGAAGATAACCGGATGCGGGCGGAGCATCTGGTGGTCGGAGTTTTCGCTTGTCTTGAATGGTGGGTCCATTTGTTCCTGCATGAAAATAAAAATATCTAACATGTCACCCTCAAGAAATTTTTCCTAATTTTAAGCAAATTAATGTGTTTTGCATATTTTTATAATTTTTCTAAAGTTTAGTGATGTGCCCTAAGAAGTCATGTTACCAATTTATCTAATTGGGCTCTTGTAAATTCAAGATAAAATTGCATAGCATATTATAAACTCGGACAAATGAATCTAACATATGCAAAGCGAGTGGACCACCCCATTCCGCCACCAATCTGCCTAAAAACGGATTAACCCGTCCCGATCCACTTTTAAAAATGGGTTAAAAAACTCAGCCCGCTCTATTTGGCAAGCGGCTCAAACCCATTTTACACTAAAAAGTAAAAGAAAAAGACTAGCCGGGGCAAGTTAGGCGGGTTGAAAAACTCAGTCCGAAGGGCCGAACTATTTTGTCACCTTTAAACATGCACATGGCATGAGAGTTTAAGAATAGGTCATCTTATGTGTTGTTTAAGATAATTATATAATGTGAGATAATCAATCATTTATGGATAAATTAATGATTATTTTTTGTCGCTTGATTGTCCTAATTTTTTTTTCTCTCGTCTCAAATCACCATTGGTTTGTTCATAAATAATTAAACATTTTAGACCAAATAGTGATAATTTAGTTGATAGTAAATGAGCTGACTAAGTAGAAAGGAATTAACTCCAAAAAAATAATAATTAAAGATTTTAGAAATTTTTGGCAATGGTTTACCCTTTGTTTATATTTGTTGTGTGATTTTGTTTTGAGGAGTTATTGTAACTTATTATCCAAAAAAAGAAGTTATTGTAACTCTACTACTTACCTTGCATAGCTGCATGAAGGAACTGGAATTATAGGTTGAAGCAGGCTTTCCCAAACCCAAAGTGGGTGGTGCATCTTTGTTGAAAAGCTTAGCAACCCTTTTAGAAATGCTATCTATATTTGAGTCACCTTTAACAAGCCCTGTGGCGAGCCCGAACCTATTGATAGATAACTCATTCCCAATCACCTCATCAGCACGTAAATGCTCCTTCACAAATCTCTCCACCATGATCCTTGGCATCTTGGTGACCACAATCCTCTTTTCCTTTGAGTTAAACACCTTCCACGCATCCATATCAAGATCATCCATGAAGAACTTTGGCAAAACTGCCCTGGCCACCGATTCAACCTCAGACTCAGAAACCCCTGCTACGGCCACAAACATCATCATCTTGAACGCAGCATCTCCATAACCAACCTTGTCCATCAACCGAATCACGGGCCATAGAATTAACAGCAACGCGAAACGTATCAAACCGGATGCTTCAAAAGCAACTAGCATGAAGTACGAGAATGTATCTGAATCCTTCAGAAGTGTGCCTTCTAGCTCAGAAACAACGGACTCCATTAGGTTCTGTTTTTGCTATTTTGCAATAATTTTCTGTGTTTTGGAATTGTTGAGGTTCAAAATGTTTGGTTCTTGTTGCTTATGAATGACATGGGGTTTAACGTATGAAATAGGAGTAACGATTTGGGGTCAATATATTTGACTTGTCTCTAACAGTTATATCAGTTTTATAACCACCACTTTATCTTATTCGACACGTTTGTTTGCAAATATTGATGACTTAACCCCAACTAACTTGGGGGCTATTAAAGTATAAAGACATGGTAGACGGCTAGTTGGACACCTAAAATTGGCGTATAATATATACGTATACGAGTATTTTCGTTGTGAGTCAAAAGATTTCCCTTTTGAAGAATATGAATACAGAATAACCAAGGTTCACTTTTTGCAGATAAGTTATCTGATCTACACTAAATTCAATACGACATCGTTTTTAGTTGAAAATTATGGTGTTTTTGTAATTTTAATTTATTTCAAGGTTATATTAGTTTTTATAATTATAATTTTTTAATCTTTCAAACTCAAAACGACGTCATTTTGAGAGTAAATACAAATAACTTATATGCAGTAACTCTGTAGAAATATTTTTCTTAATAACTAATTGTGAAATTAAATTAACAATTTTTTCGCTAGATGACACTGTTAAATAGAATCATTCAATTAGTAAATACTAAATAGTATTCATCTCAACTTTAAAGGAAATCAAGGATTTCTTACTCCTTATTTTGTATTTTAATTTTAATTTAATCTATGACTTATTTCAAAATGATTTATAATTATTTTCACTATTCAAATTCAAATTTTATATATAAAATTATCACTACTTATTTTCCCGTCATAAGTCAATGTTGGCTAAAATCTACTTCAAATGTAACTTGAAACTTACTATACTCTCCAAATACTTTATATAATTCAAAATATAACATTAATTTACTCTATACAAATCACTAAAAAAATATATATAAACCGACGATCAACATATATTATTATATTTCAGAATAACTATAGTTTATTTTATATTAAAAAAATTTATAGTCAAAATATTTTAAAATAACATTTAGTTATAAGTGTTAAATATATTTCTGATACAATATAATAGAGAAACTCATATAAAATTTGATTAGATCTTGTTTTATTTATGAGAAAAATATTTGTCAGTGAAACTATTGTATTTTGGTATTTTTTTTACCTTATCTCTTCCTTTATACTCTCATTTTCTCTTTCCTCCTAAATTCATGGATGAGAGAGAATATAAAAAATCATTAAATATGCACCAAAATATATTAATTTCATTTAAAATGATAAATATTTTTTCCTTTATTTATTTATAATAATACTTACATGCACTTTCTAACTTTATATATACGTTTTAAATAAAATACTATTATATATTATGGAGATTATAATTTTATTTAATAAGTAAAATTTATAATATGTATTAGAGTCAACAAGTGATTATAAGTTCGATATTCATCGCTTTTATTTTATTAATAAATAATCAAATATTGTAGAATTTTTTAACATATGTAATTGGATCTAAAACATTATTCACCGTTTGTGCCTAATAGATTTTTATACGAGAGAACAAAATATAAAATTTTGATGTGGTCTCCACCTATCGATCAACTTTTTGAATTAAAATAACTATTTGAAAAGCTAAAATAATATCCATACTGTGAGAACTCAGGGCACGGAGATCATTTCCTGAACTGTGTTTTTAACTGTTGCCAGTTGCTATATGCATATATGCAGAACTCCCGTTAATGTTTAAATTGATTGATCATATGTTTTTTTGGGTTCTATGCTGGTTAAGGGTTGATGGGGAATATGTCATGTCAATTCAAGGTCACATGGTAATATTGATGATATCATTTTTATGACTTTAATCATAATTTAATTTGATTAATTAAAATTAAAAATTTTCATTTTTAATTAATAAAAATAAATTGAAACTAAAATAAATTATATGCTCGTACCAAATCAGAGTGGGTCAGAAACATACATGCTTCTGTTTTGGAAGAGTAAGGAATAAAGTTTGGTGTCAGCTGGACAAAGGCTTGGAAGAGGAACTGAAAAAAAGGTTAGAATGTTATCAAAAAAAAAAAAAGGTTAGAAAGTCAACCCTGGTGCTTCGGTAATGTGAAACTTGTTAACAAGTATGGTTGTTCATCTTCCTCTATGACGTCCCTAAACACTAATTTCAATTTGTTTGTGTTCAATCAACATTCCAATGTACAAATGTATTAAAATTCCATTTGCTTGCAAAACTTCTCATCTCTAACCGGGTAGGTAAAGGTTGGTTAGAAATTGAAATCGAAGAAGGCATTATATACTTTGAGAAAGAAATAACTGTTTTTTCTTTCGTTTAGTGCCAAAGGTTATAGTTAAATGAAAAAGTACATCAGTTAATTTATCTCAGCCACAATCCACTATTACCCCACTTCCAAACACATGGTTTATGTTAAAGTGAGTTAAAGATCACGAAAATATTTTCTATTCAAATTAGGAATAAGATTATGTAGAGATATTTTCTATTCAAACTAGGGAATGAAATTATCAAGATATCTTTAATTATTGTTGGAAATCGACAATCACACAAATCACAAACGAAAAGAGAAAGAGAGATAGAATAGACACAAATATTTATTCTGATTCACCCAATTTAGGCTACGTTCAACTTGTATGTACTATATTCACCTCACCACCAATCGTTATAAGTCACTCGGTTTACAAAAAAAAAATATAAATATGATTAGAAAATTCTAACAACAGCTATTCATGGGCCCAAACCCAAACTATTAAGAAAATTACAATAAATCAGAGGCCCACAACAATACCTAGCCTCTACGGGCCTTTCTGAGGAACCCCAATTGCACCCGACGACTAGCCCTTATCAGTATGCGAAGTATCAATCATACCCAACACTTATTAAGTTGGATATCAAAGATAACATTTTACGAAAATGGATATATATAGAGAGGAGTATCCCATCGGTTTATGAACATAAGATTCTAGTGTGGTTGTCATCAGTAAGGAAATCAAAGGTGATTCAAGTGATACATGTTTGATTCTGCTTAAGTAAAGTTTTGGGTTCAAATCCTTTGAATGGAAAAAATAATCCCAGTGGGAAAACTAGCTTCACCATGATTTGAATATTTTCGACTCGAATATAATTACAGATAATGATTGAGCCATAAGACACGTAATCTCTTAACATTTAGATTTTTGAGATATTTTTAGACATTCAAAATTACATAGAAATTGATGAACTTTTCCAAAAAAAATAATGTATACATCAAACATGTTTATTTTGAAATTTTTATTAAATAAAGTAATCATTTTACCTTGAAAAGGAGGAGGTCATAATGTGATTCTTTGGATTTGTTTATCGGAAAAGCATAACATACGAAGTTAAACAAGGCTCCCAAACTGGCTTTATTGCAATGGAGAATAGACCAATAGTCAATAGAGACAAAAATGAAATGATTCACATCGATCAAAAAAATGAAAATACTGAAGTCGAAAGATTTTTCGACGTTATTATAGTAATTGAAAAATGACCCTCTATCCCTTCATATGATCTTGAATTGCTTCCCTTGATCTCTTCCAAAATCGATCTAATGTGGTATGAGATCATATGATAAAATCTCAACCTTCACATATTTGAATTCAACTGAAGATACTTGCCATGCCTGCATATCTATAATTAATAACAAGGCTAAAAAATAAAAATTTATACTATAATTCTCAATATATAGTCTTTTACATTAATAACTTGCAGAAATAAGATTATAGTTGGGAGCATTAGGTACCTTTCTACATCAATAAAATTGGTGCTTCTCATGGGATTATACTTGGGAATTGGAACCAGCCCAGCCTCTATACGATAAATATCTTCTACCAGAATTGCATAGTGTATCTTCACTTCCTCGACTGATTTATCACCAACTGCTTGGGCTATATTTTGCCATCGATTTGGGGTGTCTTCATCATAAATTGTCAGTGCCATTTCAAATTGTTTGTTCTGCTTCTTTGTCCAAGACGAAGAATATTCTTTTTCTTTGTTGTCGATAGAGTTTGAAGCCATTTTGTCTCGAGGGTCAAGGTGCACGTATAAGGTTTTTTTTTTGACTGAGAATATGAAATGACAACGTATCATGATAAAATTTTAAATGTGACCCGTCTATTTATAAACGCTAAAGTGGGATGAGATATTGAACTTATCATGATAGATCCTGTTGGATAAAAGCATATAATGTGTTGACCTCAGCGAACTATTCTTTCGCCTTTTACTAAAGGAGCGTATGAGAATTTTTTTTAAGGAAAAAAGTAGTTAATGTTACTTTAGATAATTTTGTCTAATGTTTATTAAAATGACGTCGTTTTGGAGTTGAAAAATAAAAAAATTAGAATGATAAAGATTATTATAATCCTAAAATAAATTAAAATTATAAAAACACCATAATTTTCGTCCCAAAACGACGTCGTTTCGGTGAATATTAGATAAAATTATCTAAAGTAACTTTAGAACAAACAAACCCTTTTTTCTATTAGTAAACTTTTTTTTTAAATTTAAATATTTCGTTAATATCGTTAATTCTATCGCTTATAATTTAGGATAATATTTACTGAACAGTCAACCAAATCCGCAACTTTTATCTGAAAAATATTTACTGATTAGGTATCTAAGATAACTTTTTTTATCGTTTAATTTTTTTAAGTAAATAATATTGTGAATTTATCAGTTACTACAGTTTAGGAATTAGGATAGTGTCTTTTTAAAAATATATATATTATTCTAAGCTATAAGAGTTATCAAATTTACAAAATTTATAGAAAAAAATTACATGATCAAAAAAGTTATCGTAAATACGTAGTCAATAAATATTTTCCAGGTAAATATATATTGCGAATTTGATTTACTGTTAAAACTTTCAAAAACATATTTACTGTTAGTAAATATTATCCTAAATCATAACTGATAGAATTAACAATATTATCAAAAAAATGTTTTTAAAAACATTTCAGCTGTAATAGTTTAGGATAATTACTCCTAAATTGTAACCGCTGATAAATTCACAATATTTATCTCTGATATATTCTGTGTCTTACAAAACAAGTTTGCTATTATGTATTTTAATTTATAATTCTGTAAGTGTAAAATTCACGTTATTTGTGGCTTGAATTTCGTATATCACGCACTGACTTTGGGAAACTCGAATAGAAATAGATTAACTGATTGTCAAATACGAATTAATTCTCTCAAGCTTTTAAGTATTCGTGATAAAGATCTACTCCTTACATGGATATAAAACTAAAACATGTTGTTATCAAAAAAAAAAAAAAAAACTAAAACATGTAACATTTATTTCTACCTCTTCTGTTAATTGTGATTTACGATAAAGGCTTGGTCTTGTAGAATTTGTTTCGTTGACTTATTCACTTACGATACAAGACAGTTATATATGGGTTTAATTCTGTCAAGCTTTTAAGTATTTTCGTGCACACACAAATCAAGTGTCCTTACATGGATATAAAAAAAATGTCAAACCAATTTAATCTAACTCTTCTGTTAATTGTGATTTACGATAAAGGCTTGGTCTTGTAGAATTTGTTGCAGGTTGACTTACAGTGTCACTTCCTGCAACAAGACAGTTATATATATATATATATATCCGTAACTTGAGATAAGTTTATCTTTGATCATCCTAAAACTACATCGTCTTGAGCAATATTGTTAAAATCGAGATTTCAAGTAAAATCGGAAATGGGCTAAAAAATCGTAAAACATAAAATTAAAATGTAAAAAAAAGTAAAAGCGTTTGAAATATTAATAAAATTATTGTGATGAAAAAAATCGTAAAAACGTAAAACCGTAGAGATAAATCAGAATTTTAACAACCATGATTTTGAGGGTTGGGGGAATTAATTAATGAGTCAAAATTCATATAATAAGAAAATTACCTAAATACCCTTCATTAATTCTCTTAACTCTCGACGTAGTTTTGGGGTGACTGGAGATAAGCTCATCTCAAAATGATAAACCCCCACACGCACATACTAACACACACAGGGCAGGATCCTTTGCACCAGTGCCAAACTATGAAATTTGACACCAAATCACCAAATTCTACCCGTTGATTTTTGCCAATCACCGACTATCATTTATTAGGAATTAATAATTAATTAATGAATTGATTGGCGAAAATAATGACTGTTGATCGGCGGAAATCAACGGTTAGAATTTCGTGTCAAATTTGATACTGATGTCAAAGGAACTTATATATATATATATATATATATATATATATATATATATATATAGAGGTCAGGATATATAAACAAACCATATATCGGCTCGTGAAGGCCTGAACCTACATGTCTGAAATTGGTTATTGGAACCAGGCTTGGACTTGTATAAAAGCTCGTTTAATAAAAAGGCCTGAGGCTCCAATTCAAAAGCTCGGCCTTGGAGTCTCTCAGGCCGACCTAGTATATTAATTTTAATTTTATATTTTTTATACTACTTATAATAATCCCTTCTCTCTTTTTTATTTTTTTGGTTAAACAGATTTTTTGAATAATTTTGTTCTATATTATGTTGTTTGGATATATATTGAATTTATGAATATTTATGAAATTACTAGTGCTGTTGATTGTATATTCTGTTTGGATAAATTTTTGTTGTCTTATTTTTTTTTTAAAACAGGCTAACAGGTCAAATCAGACTTTTATTTTTATAAATAAGACAGGCCAATGCTGATAATTATATTCGTAACAGGTAACAGGCTAGGTCAGGCTGACACATTTAAATGCAGGCTTAGCCTTTTAAGACCAAAGCTCGGCTCGGCTATATATATATATATATATATATATATATATATATATATATATATATGAGTCATTGGATGAAATTAGATTAATGATCAAGATTGAATGTAAGACTTCTAACTTCTAACTCTTGCACTGGTGTAAGAATATCCTGCCCCTATATATATATAGGGAGGGTTATATTTACAAACTTTTTGTTTACAAACTACACTATGTACTTCCGGGAGTACATAGTGTAATTTGCAAAAATTTATAAAAAAAGTTTGTAAATGGATCCTTCCCCATATATATAGATCATTTGACACCGGTAACTTTGAAATTTGATACCAAATCCTAACCGTTGATTTTCGTCAACTAACAGTTATCATTTATTGAAAATGACTAATTAATTAATGAGTTTGATTGGCGAAAATTATACCCGTTGATTGACAGAAATTAGATTAGGTTTTGGTGTCAAATTTCAAAGTTTGACACCAGTCTCAAAGGCTCCTGCCCTTATATATATATATATATATATATATATATATATATATATATATATATATATATGATCAACTTACATCGTTGTAAGAATAAAAAGTCTTACACCACATCTTAAACATTTATTTTCGTGCATCCTTCATTAATTATTATGACCCTGTAAATCTTAACCGTTTGATATACAGAAATCAATGGTTAAAATGTGATGTAAGATTTTTTATTCTTACACAGATGTAAGAATAACCTACCTATATAAGGAAATAAAGAAACAAAATGACGTAGTTTTGGGCTGACCGAAATAAATATATCTGAAGCAACTTGAGAAATATTTTTCTCATATATATATATATATATATATATATATATATATATATATATATATTCTTA